GCTGTTCTTCAATTGTTGTTTCTCAGTTAATATAGTGGGAGAAGAGGTGCATGGCCCTAAAAATGAAGCTGTGTTGTCAAGTGGGAATGTCAGTGAGCAGTATTTGGACCTTAAAGTGATCTGCATAATCAACTCAACCATGGAAATATTGATGGTTTTGAAAATGTTTATTCCCATTCTGCAAAATCATATCCTATTCAGGGTTCTCCGGAGTTGGCAATGCTGGTGTGTTGGATAATTGTACCTCTTCTTTACCTTGTAAGCATGCTTTGGTGTAAATCCTTTTTATTTTCAGGATTTTCCGGTTAAGTATATCCTGTCTATTATGCATGTCATTTATTCTATTAAATTCTTTAAAATTATCCTCCGCGTATTTCTTAAAATTGGGTCTTACCTTTCATGTGCATTTAGTGTGAGTCAGTTGACACCACAAATACCAAAAGATGGTAGTAAGGAAGTTAAGTAAGTAAAAAAAAAAGGTCTCAGTTCGATCCCCATATATATTACTTTTGGGAGGGGTTTAAATATTTTCATCTCTAATCTACCCCACACTCCAGATTAATCTCATAGCTGACTTAAAGAGTTGAAGTTTATGAGAATAATAAAAGAGCCAACTCACTTCAAAAAAATAATTAAGATTGGATTACCTCCAAAAAAAAAAATTACACGAGAAATCATTCTCTCCATTGTAGCGGTAGACAATCAGGTGATGGTTACTACTTACTCCACTAATAAAAGGGTAAGTTCCTTGTCTTTTTTGTTTTGTAAGTATGTGTGGTGGTGGGTATAATTGTTAATCATCAGAATTTGACTATTTTAGTTCCAGCAGTCATTGGTTGGTAATTCCATCATGGTTTGGTAGCATTGATTGCAAGATCAATGAATATGGAGTTTGGCCTAATTTTTTGTTATCTAATTGTATGACTTGATGACCAAGGACTATAGTTTGCTTCCTTAAATGTGTGCCCGTACTCTTGTATAAAGGTAATTATATATATATATATATATATATATATATATATATATATATATATATATATATATATGGGACAGGATCATCTTACACCGGTGTAAGAATAATAAGTCTTACACCAAATCTTAATCATTGATTTTTTACATCTAACGGTTAAGATTTATTAGGTCTCACTCATTAATTAATTTTTAATTTCCAATAAATCTCAACCATTGGATGCACGGAAATCAATGGTTAAGATTTGGTGTAAGATTTATTATTCTTACACCGGTGTAAGTTGATCCTATCCCTATATATATATATATAGAAAAAATAAATATTCAGTGATTGGGACGTCAAGTGCACTATATACTTTCGGAAGTACATAGATATATTGGTGTATTTTCGAGAGTATATAATTATAATATTTATTATAACTATGTACTTCCGGAATTACATAGTAAATCACACCAAATTTTAGGTGCAATCAATGTATATTCGCTTAACTAAATCATAGAATATAATAATAAATTTAACACTACAAATTAACCCAAAATATTATGGCAATCTACGATCATTTTCAAACGAGTTAAGGGAAGCCCGCCAAGTTGAACCCAAAACGGGTGGAAACAGCTTAGGAAGAAAAGAGAAAACTGGACAAGTGATGGTGTAACGCTTGACCGCTTCAAGAATCAATGACTATCTTCACATATTAACACGAGACTTTTCAGTGTGCTTTTTCCTCACTCGTACACTTTCCCGAAAAACTTCCCAGGAGGTCACCCATCCCAGAATTGCTCCAAGTCAAGCACGATTAACTGTGGAGTTTTTTTGATCCGGACTACCGAAAAGCATATGCATCTTGTTAGCATAGGTAGTACCAATCAATTCTTATAAGTTATCCCAAACTGTGCAGTCTTATACCTGCACAACCTTTGAAATCTCTATCTTTCGGGTGTCGATTCGATTCATTCATGCATGTAACCCCCCGCTGGAAGCCTGTCAGGAGTCGCTCCTTGCCCGTGCCTCTTTGCACCAGTGATCACTCCCGCCCTCGTCGGCGCTCGGGATGTTACAGCCCACCAGCTTCCGCCTGGTTCATCCTCAAACCACTCCGTACTAGATGAGAGGCCCTGCTCTGATACCACTTGTAACGCCCGACCGCTTCAAGAATCAATGGCTATCCCCACATACTAACACGAGACTTTTCAGTGTGCTTTTTCCTCACTCGCACACTTTCCGGAAAAACTTTCCAGGAGGTCACTCATCCCAGAATTGCTCCAAATCAAGCACGCTTAACTGTGGAGTTCTTCCGATCCAGGCTACCGAAAAGCATATTCATCTTGTTAGCATAGGTAGTACCAATTAATTCTTATAAGCTATCCCAAACTGTGCAATCTTATACCTGCACAGTCTTTGGAATCTCTCTCTTTCAGGTGTCGATTCGATTCATTCATGCATGTAACCCACCGCTGGAAGCCTGTCAGGAGCCGCTCCTTGTCCGTGCCTCTTTGCACCGGTGATCACTCCCTGCCCTCGTCAGCGCTCAGGAGAAAGAAGGAAGAGACTAACGGCATGTTTGGTACATAGTATAGGATAAGGTCTGATAGTATAAGATCTGATAGTATAAGGCATGATTGTATAAGGCATGATTGTATAAAACCTGATTAAATTTTAATACTATCCAGCGTTTGACATGATATTGTATAAGGTAATATATTGTATAAGACAATATCATCTAATATTTGAAAATACACTGATAGTACTAGATAGGTTAAAAATAAATATTTTTGTCAAAAATACCTTTTAATAATGAATTTACATAATTCTTCCAAATATATCAGAAGATATTATTTTTTATAGAAATATGTTTATCAGTGTGTCCAAAAAATATATTAATTCTTATAAAAATAAAAATCTCCCATATTTTAAAAAATTATATATTGAAAAATTGTTTTTTATTTTAATATACTAATATTAAAATAATATATAATTCTTGAGAATTGCATTTGTTAATACATCAACCCGTATCAGGCCTAATCCTACCTTCTTAGGCCTATTTAAGTTATACGTCATTTTGATGTATATAGGAATCCTGCTATATAAGCTTATACTATACGATGGTCACATCAAATAACTAAAAATGTCGTAACATATAGTATAAGCTTATACTATCAGGCCTTATACATCACACCAAACAAGCCCTAATTTTGGTATAGGAGACAAGAATCCTAGCTAGGAGAATTTAAGGGATAAACAAAAGTTATTCAAATTTCAATTATGAGATGCATATCAAGATACAACCTCATATTATTACACTGTGGTATTGAACACGTTACTGGTCGAGGTATTGGGTCACTAGTTTAATCAATAGGTTACTGGTTGAACCACATGACCCGGTAAGTATATGCAATTCTATAATTTATATTAAAAAAAACTATAAACATATTCAAATACCTGTAAAAAAAGTAATATTAGTTCCAAATATTCTAATATGAAAAAATAATAAATCACACAACATTATCCAACAAACAAAGAAACACACAATACTTGACCTATCTTCAAACATTTAACATCTACGAGTCTACCACAAGTAAAATCCAGATAAAATCTTGACGATTCATTAATTTATCCTGTTAATTATAATTTTATCTTATTTTATAAGCTTCTTAAATTTAAAAAAGAAAGGCCTGAAATGGTCTTCTTAAAATTATAAGCATTTTATTATTTTATTTTTTTTGTATGCACTGGGTCGGGTCACCGGCCGGGTTTGCATCAATTTCATTGCTTGACTGATCCACTGTTTCATCTGAACTAATTGTATAATCGGTTTACCTGTTCTCGGGTCAACTCGGCTGAGCCGGGCCAGGTTCGTGAACACTTTACAAGAGTGGTAAGTTTTATCTTTTTTTTCTTTTTTAAAAAAAATTATCCAACCCTAATTATATAAGTTTTATCTATAGTTGTAGAGTATAAAATTTAGAAACCATAATAAACACATTATTTGACACATTTTTTATTACTGTATAAATTTCATATGAGTCTCACTAAGTATAAATTGAGCTCAAATTATCTATTAGAAGTTAGAACTCATATAAATTCACCTAATAATGAAGAGTGTATTAAAAAAAAGTGTATTAAAATTGTTGTTAGCATCTCCATTATAAGATATCTAGTTACTCAAATAGGGCCGACCCAGTTGGTTTAGGGCCATGTTTAATCTGGACATAGTGGACTGGCCTGTTAGATAAGCGGGCTTGCGGAATGCATATGCTATTGTGAAATTCACAGCAAAGTGGCGAATAAGTGGATGAATTCATAGCAATAGTGTCTTCTTTTCTTTTTCTTTTTTTGATACAAGTGAAAATTGAAGTTATAACCTAATATAATGTACCTAAATCTCTTACTAGTAGATCAATCCTAGTGGCTTAATAATCTGAGTTAATTTACGCTCCCTTATGCAACATTATTACATTGATATTTCAATCATTAATTTCTAAATCTTTTACAATCGTTTCTTTTGTTTGTTCGCGTTTGCAGCGGATGGTTATTGAGGGTGAATTGGTGATCATGCAATTGGATGAAATTTGTGGTGACAATTATATTCAAGTAGTCAAAAATTATTATATATGCATTTCAGTATCAATTTTATTGGAGGCTGAATGCAATCAACAAAATGAAACTTAGTGTGTTATGTCAACCCTTGAAACAAAATAATGTAGTTATGGTTTATGTAGTAAAATATGTCAATTCATTGAGCAAGGAGTGAGGACTGTGTCACTGCATCACTGATAGTGGTTAACTGGTTATAGTCATAGCCAATCCATTTTGCCACATTTCATGCTACATGGCTACAATTTCTATTATGGTTAAATTTTGTGCAGTTACTAGGCATTTTGAGTTTTTGCTAACCAATTAGCTTATTTTGAAAAATAATATTTGTATAGACTCTTTTATGCAAAATTGAAAGGGTATACTTAAACTGAACTATAGTTATCCAGTGGCACGTTTAAGGTGAAGAATGCTAATTGAACTATAATACTGAATCCTACTTTTCTATAGTACTTACCCTGGTAGAGCAGAATCTTGTGGGATTTGAGTGACTTGTGATTCTGAAGTGCCATAACTTCCCTTTAGAATACAACAAATTCTCATCACAGAAGAACTCCCAAGAAAACCATTTCTCTATCATACGATCTACATCATGTACTACTACATCTGAAGTATTCCCAGTTCTAGCTAGTACACTAGAAGTGTAAATTGGTGCCATCCTACCTGGTGATTCTGGTGAATCCCCACTGGGTCCATCTACCACCATGACATCCCAATTCTTCTCATAAACTTGTGCTGGCAAATTTTTCAATGCAAGCTTGCATTTTGATATTTGAAGGAATCTTGGGTTTGGTGCACATTCTGGGTTCTGCCTTGCATGCTTGAGCAGTTTGTAAGCTGATTTTGCTGGCATATTATACTCAAGTTTGTATATTTGAGTGTTGTTGGAGTTTATTCTTACCTTGCTTATTTTATCATGGTCATCCTCGAGAAAGATGGTGGTACCAGCTGCATTTATGGAAGAGAGGATAAGGTACTGTGGTTGAAACCCAAATATGAGGAGGTTGCATGGGGATTTAAGAGCAATGAGATCTGATAGAACCTTGAATTCTTTCTCAGTCATGGTGGTGGTGATGTTGGGAGGTTTTCTAGGCTGCTCTGAGGATTCAGGTGCATGTGATGCTACTTTGTTGCAGGTGGACAAAGGTGGATACACAGGGGAAGAAGATGAAGTATTGATAGTGAGGCTCAGAAGTCTGAGGATTGATATGACAGAAAGGATCAAAACAAGGATAGGGATGAGTTTCTTTTTGGTGAGATTCATCCCTTTTGTTCCGTGCCAATATTTGTCAATAAAAGGTTGATTTTCTTGTGCTTGAGTTGTGAATGGAGGAGAAAATTGAACTAGAGGAGATGAGAGAGGACGAAAATGAAGTACATCTGGGGGCATCTTAGCTATTTTTTTTTTAACTCTCCTTTGAGTAATGCTGCTGTTACATTACATCCTTCTCATAGTGTTGTGGGCTTTTGATGATATAACAGCTTTTTCTTTTGTGCTCATGTGAATCTCCTTGAGTAGGAAGGAAGGGATGGTTTTGCTTTTGTTACAAGTTTCACCTTTCTTACCTAATTGTTGTGGTTGCTGGTTGAGCTCGAGAAATTAGTATACATGTGTCTCCCTTAGAAATTTTCATTTGAATCGTTTATCTGTGTGCTGACATGCGTCCTTTAAGTTCGGTTTATTGTCAAAGTTTCTTTTTGGGTGCTTTTAGGTGATCATGAGTAAGCTTGAAGATGGCTAGAAGGTGGTTGCAGGGTCTCTTTCAAATTTCAGTCCATGTAACTCTTTAAGAATTTTTGTCATTTCATATGTGGTGCTTTTTAATTGTTGATGATGAGCAATGGCTGATGATTAATTTTACATTTCCCTTTTCTGATGTTAGATTTTTCGCTTGCAAGCTGAATGCTCAACTAGCCAAGTTTGCCGTGGAAAAATGGGCTAGGACTAGGAGTGCATATATAGTGAAGGATAGCTTATAGTCAGTGAAGTGGCAAAGTTGTTTCAATCAACTGAGTAGTATTTTATTCCCCTTATGGCAATTTGGTTTAGAAGAAGGTAGAAGAAAAGAAAAGAAAATAATATTGATTTCATTCAAAGGGATGACAACATAAGTGACATCAGAAATAATGTTGATTTCATTTTAGAAACCAGAAGATGGGGGTTAATTTCAATTTTTCTATTAGAAATGACAACAGAAAAACTCTTAAGTCCTTTCAAGGAGAGCTTCGTGGAAAATCCCAAACCGAAAGCTATAGCATTCTAGACAGATATAATATGGGAAGCCTTGACAAATGATCAATCATATATAAGTCCTAAGATTTTGAGATTTATATCCTCCAACCAGAATCATGGCATTTTCTAAGTTCTTTTTGAGTACAACACCCACGTTTGAACCTATTAACAGCTACCAAACTATTTAAATTTCTTATTAGTAGTAAATAAATTAGGAGTTTTATTTCAAACCTAATTTTTTTTAATGTTAATTACATTCAATGAATAGATAACATATTAAAAATTACTATTTAACATTTATTTTTTGCCTGTAAGTTGTAACTATATATCTTTAAAAAATATTATTAGTAAGTGTGCTTTTAAAAAAAAAAAAAAAAACACACAAAAAAAAAATAGGACCAACATAGAATAAAGCATTTGGGCAGCCACCTAATACAGTGGGCTGTGGGCAAGTCATTTCCAATCTGGAACCTCAACATTTCCCACTTATTCAATCATTCTGTTACACGTAGTCATTCATTCATTTGTTCTTGCATTATGTTGATGTTTGTTTAATTATATTAAATATAGAAGTTGTTGTAATGACCTTGTCCATATCTAATATTCCTTTTAAGGCATCTCTAAACGGCATAATCCCCTCTGTCTTTCTTAATAAAGATCCATTTACATTGGTGTTGAAGTTTTTTTTAATTAATTTAGAAATATTGTAATTGGTCTGTTCTGCAGTGTGAGACACTACTAAGGAAGGAAGGCCATACCCCAACAAGACAGGATTTTTTAATGTGATCTACCATCTTTTTTGGTCATCCCTTTTCTAATTTTGGAAAAATATGCTTCCCTCCCAATCGGTCATTTCTTTTAAAATTTTCTCTCACTTTCTTGTTCTTTACTATTTTTGGAAGGGGACCATGTGTACATGGACCACTAAAACAAACCTCAAGACGGGGGACCAATAAGACCCAACCAATAACGTTTTACTTTGCCGGAAAAAATAGTCCTTTTTGTGGATTTGCGCGCAACATTTAGCGTGAGAGACGGGAAATATTTTAAGAAATTCCCCTTTTACTTTTCAATTCAATCCTATGCCCCCTTATGTTCAACACTTGATACAGTTTATACTTTGTAAAAGTAGGGTATGGAAATAAATTACGAGGATATTCTAACTATCAAAAAATTTCATTACTAACTTACTATCCATCACATTATTATTGGATCAAAAAAAGAGAATGTTAAAAAAAATTTAAAGAGAAAGAAAATGTTAATCTAATGGTGATTAGATAGGTAGTAAGTTGGTACTAAAAAAATTTGGTAGTGAAAATATCTCTCCTCGAAAATAAATTACGAGGAGAGTTATATTGATAAAAAAAATTTTACAAATTATAATATGTCTTAGCGATAAAATTTTATTCAAAAGTGTCTTGCCGGTAAAATATAGTATAGTTTATAAATAAAAAATTTATAAATATAACATTCCTCATAAATTATCTCTCTCAAAATTGAGAGTTATAATTAATTAAAGGGGAAGATTATATTTACTATGTCTTACAGATAAGACACTATTGAATGAAATTTTATCGATAAGACATAGTATAGTTTGTAAATTTGTAAAAAAAAAAAAAAAAAATTGTCCACATAACCCTCCTTTTAACCAAAATTTTTTATGGATTTAATATATTTTTTTGGCAAATAAAAAATAATTTTATCTCATGCACACAGTGCAGGATGTTACTATGTTAATTTCATCATAAGTAGCAATTCTAAACAATTGTTTGTATAGTGATAATGGTTGGAGTGCTGAATTTAATCTCTGGGATCTGAATTGGTTTTATGTTGCAGTTGATTTAATTATGCATGCAGTTTTTAATTACCAGACCAAAATTTCTTGCCCAGTCAATTATTTTCAGGTTTTATGCTGGGATTTCATCCAATGTGTAGCAGCCGCTACAAATTATTAAAAAGCATTTTTCAAGTAGCTAACTAACCAACTTTTCCCAGAAATTAAGGAAAATTGAAATAGTAACTCTGATATAATTCTTAGTAAAAAAAGAATCATTCGCAAAGTTTCCTTGAAATCACAAATGAGGCCATGGCTGTGTTGACATTCAACCAAGGTTGTCAAATGGTCATTTTCTATCCAAAATATAAAATTCCCAGAGTGACGTTACAAAACCAATTAACAAATATGGTGATGCCGTTCCCATTGGAAAGCTTAACCACAAAACTCTTTCTCCTAACGTGTTCTTTACCTAAATAGATAAGAGTTAGGAATCAAAGCCAGGTTGAAATTTTAATTAAGGGTTTAGTCTAAAAACCAATAATAAGTACAAAGGTATAATTCTGGAGAATACTGTGGAAACCATGGTTAAGGCAAGAGGAAGATACCACCAGTTCATCATCACCTACTATTCCAGAGTGTTCCTATTGTCCTTGTCAGCTTAATCATACATATATAACTTTTTTTTTAAAATTTGTTGAATACTTGGTCATTAGATTCACAGCTTCAACAAGAAATGTCATCTTAGTAAGTTTGGTTAGGCCAGGTCTTCCTTTCTTATGTGCTTGTTTTTCTTCATCTTTTCCCTTCATTCTTCATTTTGCAGATGGCTTCTTTTTGTGTATGGTACCCCTATACTAATTAGTAGGACTCACTACCCTTAAGAAGGTTTCAATTATTAGATTGGCTTTGTGACTCTGTCTACCTCTTCTCCTTCTATTTGTGGGCATTTCTTGGTCCAATTCTATAGACCTTTGTTTTCTTTGCCATCTTTCTACAAAAAAATTTCCCAGGCATTCAACATAACTATTTTATGTTTCTGTAAGTGGTGAAGGCAAATATTACCATGGGAACCAACAGCCAGGAGCATGGAGGATCTGAGGTAAAGTGATCAATATTCAAGGGTTTTTTTTTTTTTTTTTTTTTAGTACAGTTCATGTTTGTTGTTACTTGATAGTTCTATTTCAACTGATAAAGCTTGAATAATTCTAAACCCTTATGTCAGGTAACATATCAGGAAATGGTAGAAGATGAAGTCAAGGACACAAGGAATGTTCCTGTTGGACCTATACACAAAATAATAGCAGAGAATTCCAAATCAAACAGTATGGTTATAAAGGTAATTAGCTGATTCTCAGTTTCTTTTCTTTTCTTTTTTTTTGGTACAGACATAATAGATATTATTATATGTTCAATTGAAACTGAACAAATGGATTCAATTGTTACCAAAACAGAAACCACATGTGGTGATTCCTCCTCATATCATAGCAGAAGCCATATCAACTATCCGTGATATTGATCTTAGATGGTCAGGTCCAATCACACAGAAAGAAATGGAATATGTTGAACAGTATGTGCTGGCAAAGTACCCAGAATATTCAGGTCTCATTGAAGGTGATGGGAGTGGTATAGACTTGACTAGCTTTATTATCAATGAGGAACCTTCAGAACCCATGTCAGATGATAGGAGGAAGTCACCAAGAGGGAACTTTAGAGAGCCTTTGTTTGGAAGTAATCTACCTGAAATGGATAGGACCCAGTTGGAGCCATCAAGGCTACTTGATATTCTCAGCAAAAAATCCTCCTTTCCTGGAAGTTTCATCTCAATCCCAGAAATCCAAGCTCAAAATAAGGTCTTGAAGCATTGTGGGTTGCCTGATAATGAATACCTGGTTCTATTCACTCCAAGTTACAAGGATGCTATGATGTTGGTGGGGGAAAGTTACCCTTTTGTTAAGGGAAACTACTACATGACAATTCTTGAACAAGAAGACTATATAAAGGAATTTGCTTCTTTTAAGGAGTCAAAGGTGATCTCTGCACCCAAGACTTGGCTGGATTTGAGGATCAGAGGGTCTCAATTAAGCCAAAATTTTAGGAGGAAGTGTAAGATCAGCCCAAAAGGGTTATTTGCATATTCAGCAGATGTGAATGGGACAATGCATTGGGTTTCAGAGGCTCATAGGAACTACTGGCATGTTCTGCTTGATGCATCTACATTGGTTGTAGGAAAGGACAGGCTACTACTTGGGCTTCACAGGCCTGACTTTGTGGTTTGTTGTCTTGATAACACTAATTCCAATCCTTCAAGAATCACTTGCCTCTTAGTGAGAAAGAAATCCTTTGACACCTCCACTGCTTCATCTCAGGTTAATGAATGAGTCACAATGAATACTTGTTTGACAGTTTTAGACAACAATTTGAACTGCCTAGCATTTAGCAATGTCTTATTTTGGTATCATGAACTCTCAGACAAACCGTGAATTTTCCTGGCCTACTTTGTAGATTGAATAAATGATTTGACACATAGAGAAGACCACTCATAACTGGTTTTGGATGATATGTGTTCTTCATCATTTGGGTGGTTTGTATTTATTTGTTATTGATATTGTGATCTATTTTTGTTTGGTTTTTGTGGCCAAACCATTTTTCCGTAACAGTTAATCTTTTTTTTTGCTCAAATTCTGGAAATGCAAGCACCTAGGTTTGTCCTTCCTTATATAATAGAAACTGAAGAATATGATGGGAGTGGAGAATGTGGTGTATGCAGGAGTGACATTGAAACATGACGGTTAATGAAGGTGTTATTTGGGATCTATATGTTCATGCATTTGAAAGTTGTAACCTTTATTTTTTATTTTTTATTTAATTATCTTTTTGGTTGATAAGGTGGTGAAACACTAGTTTCCAGTATTTATTTTCTGTGCGGCAGATTATATTTACAAACTTTTTTGTTTACAAACTCTTACGAATTACACTATGTTCTTCCAGGAGAACACTGGTTACACTATGTTCTCCCGGAAGAACATAATGTAATTTGTAAAAAAATTTAAAAAAGTTTGTAAACGGATCCTTCTCCATTTTCTATATAATATGGCTGAATCTGAACAATGTTCAAATGAGTCTCAGCTAATATAATGGTTCTGGCATTATGAACTTCATGCCCTTCCAACTGTGAAGTGAAATCAAAACTATATATTATATGAGGGGTAGAGAGCTATTATGAAGTGGTTGAAAATTTGCCCCTTGGATATATGTAACCGACTTGAGATGTGTGGCAGTTCCAATTTATAGTATAAACAGAAGTGCTTGTTTGACTTGCCGGTTACCAATGGCCACAGAATTGCTTGTGCACCAGCTCACCATTGCTTGTGCACCAGCTCATTCTGGAATTACTTTTAAAAAAGGTTTTTGGTGATTAATGTCCTTAGAAGCTGATTGAGGTGTATTTAATATCTTCAAAATGATTATAACATTAGTTTTTCTAATTTTTATTGTAAATATGCTTTCATATCTTATGATAATGTGTTTAAAATAAATTTTTTTCTTGGCATTCATTAAAATTTTTGTTTTGAAAATTAGACCAGATTAGTCGACTTAACATTTTAAATTATTAGTCGTTTAAGATTTTTGCAAAATAATTAATAAAGTTATCATATATCCTTAATTTTAGAAAAATATAAATTTACATTTGACTAAATTGTTTTTTCACTTTATTAGTGATCTCTCATTCTATTTAATAAAGATACCAAAAAAATAAGAATACGATGATTAAGTTGATGTCTTCTATGTTTTCTAAATTGAGAAATACGTCGAAATAAAAAAAAATCTTTATAACGACTAATATTTCGAAATAGGTAGATGGGAACGAATCCACTTACCACCAAAAAAATTTACAACTCTTACCACCAATTTAATCACCGTTGATTTCCGTCAATCTAACAGTTATAATTTATTGAAAATTAATAACATTTATTGTGTCACATTTATTAATTCTCAATAAATTATAACCGTTAGATTGATGAAAATCAACGGTGATTAAATTAGTTGTAAGAGTTTTAAACTTTTTTGGTGGTAAGTGAATCCTCCCCCTAGATAGAGTACTATAAAAATGTGTTTAAAACCTCATCCTGGAGTCAATCCTGTCGGGTCATTGATCCTCTCTCTCTTCGAAGGTTGGGGTCTAGACTCTTTTTTTTTTGGAGATTACAAGGAATTGAACACAGCACCCTACACTACACACACTCCTAACACACACACCCCACACCACTAGGCTAACCCTAGTGGTGCTGGGGTCTAGACTCTACATATATGTTGACTCCTCTAACTGTAACTTTTTTTTAAAAAAAAAAAAAAATTTACACACGAAAAGATGGTGTTTGGTGTATATAAAAAAACAAAATTGCTGCCTAATCTATAACTAAATCTAAAATTTGAATCGTTCTTCTTCTTCTCTTCCGATCTTGTCTCTCAGACTCATACCCAGTCTTCCTGATCCGGTGATTTCCTTCGTCGTGATTATAGTTCCTTCTATTCTCCTTGGTCTTCTCTCTTTTCTTTGTCGTGCTAGTTTTCTCTCCCCACCGTTGATTCGTCGCCGCCTCTCCTCTGTTGTTCTCTATTGGGTAAGAGATATTCTTTCACATGTTGTTGCAAGTGAGTGAGAATGACAAGGAGGGCCTAAGTTCGATGATATAACTTTTTATTAACTCCATTGGAATATGTGTTTTATACTTTGATATTTGATATTTTGATTGACTTGTGGATGTAATTGATTGAATTATATTAAATATATTTTGAATATTTGATGGTTGATGGTTTGATTTTTTGAATTTTTCATATAAGATATATATTTATTTTTTAAGTATAAAACCGGAGCAAAGTGACCCGTGATCCCTCGATTGAACTCGTGATCCCGTGACCTCTGACCAAGTTGATGGCCGAGGCCGAGTTTTTAAACATTGTTATAAAAGTCAACCACGGTTTAACTATTAATTTAATCAACTACCAAAAAAAAATATCAATTTAATTTGTTGAATCAATAAAATTATGACTCAGAAGTTCTGCCGGTTTGATCTCTGGCTGAGTGTTTTAAGCATAGATTAAAAGAAATTGAACAAACAAAGCGAAAGAACATATCAACAAAGGAGATTCAAGCAAAAGCAACACACATGGAAACGCTCTCGTCCAATGAATATGCGAGCATAAGGAATAAGGAACACTGACCAAAATCTCTGACAAAAAATTTATTAAATATCACGCGAACAGTATTTTTTACCGACTGCCACGTGTCAGTAGCGAATTATGTCCGCCAATGATTTTGTGACACGTGGCACACTTTCGCAGGAAAAAACTGACGTGTCATAATCGCTATCGGTAGCGAATTTGGTCTGCAATATGGCCACGTGTCACGAAATCATTGACAAATGTAATTCGCTACCAGTGGTAGACAGGTGACAATCTGATAAAAAATACTGTTCGCGTGACATTTGAATAAAAAATTTATCAAAAAATGATACTTTAGTCATTGTTCCCAAGCATAAGATGACAAGTACAATGAAAGAAAGGAAAAATGAAATAACGAATCATATGTGCCTTTTGGGTTAACCTGAACTAGATCGACTCTCTTTTTTAAGCATTTTAAGGAATTTTACCTAAAGTATATTCAATTGTGTACCTAATGATTCATTGTCTTTGTTGTTGAAGTTAGCAGTACCAAACTGATTTCACATGTGATAAAGAGTATGGGCTCATTAATCAAAGATCTCAAGTTTGAATCTTGAAAATGAAAAAAAAAAAAAAAGAATTTGGGATTTGAAGCTCGACGAAGATTAGTTTTCGGTTATGACTGAATGATACATTTGAATTTACTCAAAAAAAAAAAAAAAAAAGTTAGCAGGTTTATAATGTATTCTCACAAAAATTAATAGTCACAAAGTCATCTCTAAATCATAAGTAATAAAAATTTAAGTAGCATTACGGAAGTCCAGCTTCTAGTAATTACATTATTTGCACTATTGTAACTCAGCTGAAGATAGGAAGAAGAAACCACAGTAGGCATCAGAACCATTTCTGTATGTATTCACAATAAACAAAAAAGTACTGCATTGTGGAAAAACTTGGTCACTATTTCCACTTATAGAATTTATAAATTGACATTGCCAATACCATTGGTAACATTGTATAATTCTTGTATCATATCCCGCCACCTTCATGTGTTACCACATGTGCATATGGATCTGCTCAATAGGGGTGGCAATATGTGTCAACCCGGCACGACACGCGCCCAACACGTGAAGAACTCGACACGACCCGGACACGGCACGTTTTATAAAAGGGTCAAAAAACACGAACCCGGGCACGGCCCGCTACGGGTCACGGGTCGACACGACACGACCCGCAAAATTTAAAATTTAAAAAAAATGCGATTTTTTAAAATTAAATACAATCAAAAAATCAAAAAAAAGACTAGCTTCTGATTTATGAGATTTTTTGTTCCTTCTATGTAAATGACACAAATATTCTAAATAGCTATATTCTCTTATTATCTATTTATTCATTTTATTGTGACACAAATATGCACCTAAAGTAAATAATAATAATAATAACATACATACATAATAAACCAAAATCAAATTAAAAAAAACATGATGAGTTAATTTCATGAATTGTCATCTACCTGAAAAAACATCAACAACCTTAAATAATCCAAAAGAGAATATAACAAATATCATCAACCTCATAATTTCTTCCTACCATCATCAATCTAAATATCTCATGGCTTGTGCAAAGTACAAACTCATCAAAATAAAATTATACAATAAATATTCTAAATTAAACACAAATTCCATTAAACACTAGTTTACGAATCAAGTTCATTTTAGGGTTCCTCCACCATCAAGTCCTTCATCAAGTCTTCAGTTAAATCTTCCACAGATAAAATTTCACCATCTATTATAAAACAAGTGATAAAAATAATTAGAGAAAAAAGTTAGATAGCCAAAGATATCATCACAACCATAAATAAGATAAAAATATTACCAATGGCTCCATAAAGCCAATCTCTAGTGCAAATTAAAGCCTCCACTGCATCATGTGAGAGAGAACTTCTATATTGGTCTAGAACTCTTCCCCCAACACTGAAAGCACTTTCAGAAGCAACACTAGAGATGGGTATGCCAAAGATATCTCTGGCCATTGAAGCAACTTGTGGATACCTGTATTGATTACCCTTCCAATATGCTAATACATCTAATTTGAACTTTGCATCAACCCTTGGCTCATCTAGGTATAGCTCAAGTTGTGACTTTAGGGGCATAGTAACAACATTAGAAGACATGTATTCCTAATAAAATTAAACAAAAACAAAACACAAATTAAGCTAAGTTAAAGTAAAAAAGAAAAAGAAATAAAGCAACAAATAAAATAGAAGGTGATATAATAATATGTCAACTTACACTTAAGACATCATCATCAGCCTCTGAGAAT